ACTCCTTCAGCACAAAAGCAGCGCTTATTACCAAAAAACAGGTTTGCTAAAAATTTTTAATTTTTTAAGGGAAAACCTTTCTGACATTTGAATTGATTTCTGCATAACTTTCTCAAAACTTATCTATTCTGAAAAAACCTGCTTCTTTTCAAAAAACTGTAAAAGTCAGTAGCCTAGCAATAACAGACATTACTTCTTACATTCTACATAAATCCGTCTAACAAATGGAAAACTTGACTCAACCACACTTATACACGAATCTATGCCTGCTCTTCATGTGGATTGTTAATTTTTTGGAACTTTTAGATGGTAGCGTGCACTTTGCGACCCGAAACCCCGTTCCGATACGTTAAACTGCCGTTACAGGCGTCTACAGGTATACCATACTTGTCTCAATGATGATAATACCCTAATCCCCCTTAATAAGGGATGATTTTTGAATTTTTTTTTAATACAAAGACGTGAAAAAAAAAAACAACGGTGGCACTGGGTGCACTAAAATGACTGTAGCATTAATGCATCGAACAAATCTTATGCATATACTATAAAATGAGGCATCGTACGCTGGCAACTTTACGTATTAGCGGGTAAAAGCCGACAAAACATGGCATGTATTCTTTCTCCACGTCACTTCTACCCCCTTCCTGAGTCTCCAAAAAGCTCTTTAAAATGCACTAACACTGGAATTTTCGGAGTCCTCTTCATCTTCGGGCGCTGCAACTTCCAAGTGACTTCTGGCCATCTGAAGCAATATAACTGCATGCTTGACAGTATCCAGTAAGCGAGTCGTCGATTTCACCAAATCATCAAAAACTTTCTTCGCTTCACAGTTGTTCGAACATGCCGATAATCCTTCTAATGTCCGCACCTAAAATGAATTTGTTGGGAGCAAGTGATTTTGCTCTCCCTTCGAGAACGTTCCAGCGCAGAACTCGGATCTGGAGCGTAGATCGATTGGAGAAGTTTAGGCCAATGTGCTGATTGTCGACGAAATCGTGCGATCGATACAGGGAGACCGGCATTGCTCAAGGAGTAGCTTCGACAGTGGCTCGAAGGAATCTGGAGCGCAAAGGCACTGCGGGCCATGCTGATCGTGGGACTCCGGTCAGCACTAACCAAAGAATCCTAAACTCGGAGCTCCTTAACTGCAAGCGCTGGTATTTCCGTGTGTGCACAAAATCGAACTCGACTTGTGTCATAACAGACACAACAGAGTTGTAATTTGCGGCCTTTAAAAGGCTGAATGGCCAAAATCAGCAAATTTTAACCTCGGGTGAGATGAAGTTCTGATGTAAAGGAAGAAACTGTAGGGCGATTCATGTGGCACGAAACCGTATGACATGTTGTGAGGTCCAGCTGATGCGAAATATTTCGCATTTCGGCCAACTTAGGCGCTAAATCAGTATTCCACTCACTGCTAGTGTTGGAATTAAAACCCCACTGACAATAGTAACAAGATGAAAATACTCAAATGTTAGCACATAATACCCCCGTTCGAATGCCTTTATCTTTCATAAAGAACGAAAACTGATAGGGTTTTGAGTTGTGAAGCACTGTTATTGCAT